AAAGATATTATATAAATAAATAAAGATATGATGCACAAAAATATATACAAATTTTTTTGTCATATAATTATTATAAAAAAAAGACCTTTTAACAAGATGTATTAGTACTTCTAACTTCTAACAGCTTTAAGATTCGTTATGACTTCATTACTTTTGTTCAATACCACGTGATTTTGATCCAACGGTTGTGATGCACTGATATGCTTTTCTTTGGCAGGTAGCTGGTGAGCCTCTTGAGCAATCGGACCCGCTTCAGCCGTTCTTCTGCGGTTCGCCACCAACGCGATCCGCTAACCCGGTTGTTCTCGACACCCGGTTCAGCGAGACCATTCCGCTTCGACCGGCCCAATGCGTTTCAGAGTCCGATTCAGAAAACCCCCAAACCGGGTTCGATCGAACCCGGTTCGGCCCCAGTCCTGCGGCTGTACGCATTGAGGGTTTCGATTGTCTCGGTTGCAATTGTAGCTGTACACGTGGCATCCCAGCCGTTGCTTAGCCCCGCTATATTTTCGAAAATTTTTTGGAAGATTTGCATATATACCCCTCAAGTGCTATGTATTTACATATCTTATCTAACGCCTAAATTTCAATTTTTACGTACATGCCACCTTACCTATGGATGAAATGGTGTATTTCACTTTTAAAAAGCTAAAATGGTGGTATCTTTTATGTGTACGAAAGATTTGGGTGGTATAAATGTAAAAAGTAAAGTTTAGGTGTTGGGTATGTAAATACATAGGAATTGGATGGTATGTATGTAAATGACCTAAGAATTATTATCAGTGATAGGTAGCAGACATGTATTTTCTTTGCTATTTTTAATTGCGTTTCTCATTCATGAGCATTTCCTTCCTCCTTTTCTCAGAAAATTTCCCTTAGCTTAGCAATGCTTCCTAAGGTGAAAGGGGATGGAGATAGCTGGTTTTTGATTATTCAGAAGATTCTTATAGCCATAAATTCTCTTCTCACTGATGCATTTCAGGGACTTGAAGAAGGTAAACATTCTCCACCTTTACTGAATCCATTCTAGGTCCTTAAATCTCGACCAATATGCTTCCTTTTTTTTTTCCAGAGAAGAAAAGTTTGGAAGTAATGAAATTGATAGTTCCTCCGGGTAAGGACCTCCCGCCCCCTTTAGGGGGTCAAACATCGCTGGAAGAAGCATCAGAGCCGGTGATGAGAAAATTAAGTGAATTACTTGTGCCGAGAGTGACGACTCTAATGCATTCTTGCTGCATTATGCTCACTAATTCCTATTCTTTTCCGGTATGTTACGAATCTAATCTATCTTTAATTACATGTCTTATATTTGTGCGTGTGTGAGGATATTAGAGGGCGGATGTTGTCCTATGAAAATCATTTGAAATAAAAAAAAAAGTAAGGGATTTACATACATACCATCCCATTCATATCTAACACCAAAACTTCACCTTTTAAATTTATCTCACCCAAATCTTTCATATCACATAAAAAAATATACCATTGTAACTTTTAAAAAGGTGAAAAACACCTTTTCATGCATAAGTAAAGTGTTATGTATTTAAAAATTGAAGTTCAGGTGTAGATATGTAAGTACATAGGAATTGAGTGGTACGTATGTGAATCTTATAAAATAGTATGATGTTGAAACCTTACTTAAAACTCAAGGTTTATTTATTTGTTTTACCAATCAAAAGATAGAATTCACTATAAACTTTATTAGCTTGTCATGTGTTTAATTTCAAGCCTTATAAAAAGTCGGTACTTTTTAAATTTATAATTATTTTTTTATGCAATCATAGTCAGCTATTGAGAAATTTTTATGCATCTAATTGTTGAACAAAGGATCTTAAAAGTTATTGAAATCTTGAATGCCACTATTATGCCTACGCCTAAACGAAATTTAATAATTTTATATTTATTATTGTGGGGTATAAATATGGATAATATGTTTATACTTAGGGTTAAGCATGCATGAGATTGTGATCTTTGAGTTTTAGCTTTAGGGTTTGGGAGAGATCGCCTCCTCTTGAATTGTAGGTGTTGGGATAGATCACCCGCATCTCGAATTGTAGGTGATTATCTCTATGTATTATAATTGTGTTGTGTGTTATTGGAGAAAAACAATTTGCTTTGCCCTAAGTTACTCGGAGGTCCATATCAAATTGGTATTAGAACATCGATCTTGAATGGTTCCTTCTTCACTGTGAAGCCCTAGTTGTGATTTCTATGGGAAAAATGTAAAAGGATTATAGCGACAGACCTTCATGATTGAACCACATACTCTCATGATTTGAGTGTGGGGATGCCAATGTAGGGATCGCTGCGCACGATACAATCATTATTTGAGCTAGTTGGGATGCTAATGCCAGGATCGCGATGTACAGAGCCAACGATGGGATCCTGTCGTACATCGTGGTCGCGCTTTGCCAGACAATCGTGTCGTCGCGACTAAAGTTAGCTATGGGATTGCGACGTTCTGGTAAGCCAACGATGGGATCAACACAATCACATAAGATCTTGGCTTACACACAATCGCGATTTGACCTAGCTGGAAGCCAATAAACAGGTTCACGACAGACAGAGCCCGCATTTGTGACCTATGCTCGTGATACAATCACTATTGGAGATATCAGGGAATATAGGATCACGGCTTACAAATCCATCGAGATTCAAGCTGAAGTTTAATTCTTAGATACAGTCACAAAATCACCCAATTTTTAGCGGGAAGCCAAACACAGGATTAAAGGAGTTTTGAAACCGTTCAAAGAGTGATGGAGGCTAAGAAAGTAGATGAATTGGGAAGAGTGTTTTTTTGGCCTTGGAGGGACAGTTCTATTCCATTGAGAGGGAGATTCACATCCTTGGAAGAAATGATGAAGAAGATTGTGAAATTTCATGCAAACATGCCGCTGATCGCCATGGGATAAATAAACAATGTTTGGAAGGGATGTGTGCGAAAATAATCTATAGGAATTATGCGATATCAAAACATAGCTGCTACTTTAAGCGGATTTGGTATCGCGGGATCAGGCGAAAGCATTGGGAACATACTCAAGCTTAAGCATTGGAAGGAATAACACGACCTCCAAATAGGGGTGTAAACGAGCCGAGCTTGAGTGAGCTCAGGTTTTGTTCGTGTTCAACTCGTGAAAAAAATTATTGTTCATATTTGGCTCGTTTATATATCGATCTTGAAAAATTTATTCGTGTCCGGCTCATTTGTTCAACGAGCTGAATACAAGCTGTCCGCAAACAATGAACCATTTTGATAGCTTTAGCCACGTAGTCGTAGGATGTTAAGGGAAGAGGTGAGATTTAAATCTTATTATTTATATTAAAATACTCATTTAAATACAATTTAATATATATTTATTCATTTTTTTAATTAATAATTTTAATTGATTATAAATCTTTGTTGCATTGTAGTCAATTAATTTTTTAAAAAATAATACTCATCAATTTTTTATATATACAACAATAATAACAACAGCAAACTTTCATCCCACTAAGTGGGGCTGACTACATGAATCCTTTTTCTCAATCGAGTCCTATTGAGTCAAACACGAATGAACAAAAACTTTTTTTTTCTATTCGACTCGTTTATATATAGAGTGCAAATTTTTTTTTTGTGTTCGGCTTGTTTGCTTAGCGAATGAATTAAACACGAGCTACTTAACAGGTCGAACACGAGCTGTTTGCGAACAATGAACCGTTTGACTGCTCTACCTTCAAACGATTGGAACGAATGAAAGCATGTGTGATTCAACAAAGGAGTTGGGATTGAATTCGAGCGGCAAAATATTGAGAGAATTACACAATATCGGGAGGATTGGAACGAGTTGCAGCAAGCGAAACTGGATGAAGTGCAATTTAGCGGGATGTTGGCCAGGAACATAGAATCATGGTGGATGGGATCTTGACGAAGAGCTGCATCCAACTACATTTGTGCCTTTTGTGTTGCAAATTTTTGGGCGGAATACGATTCTGAAATAATGGAAACAAGACATGTGGAGAAGAGTGGAGGAGAGTGTAAGTGATTGATTTGACACTGTAGAGTATTCAGGAGAGCTAAGATTGTGGTGCATTGTGGTGACCTAGTTTGCGGAAGACTTTGGTAAAGCTCAAGACCTTGGTGGGTCAATTTAGGTCGTAGGGCTGAGATTATGAATTAAGTTGCATACAATGGAAGAGACGTGATATGAAGTTGGCAGAGATTTCAACGATGATAGCTTTTGGAAGTGTTATCTGGGCTACAATATTATTAAATACTGACTTGAAGACCGACAAGTTCAAATGCGGCCAATGATGTGCATAATTCTACATTTCAAACTTTTGAGGGTCATTACAAATTTCTGATAAAATGGAAATGATTGCCAAATGATGATGTCGTGTGGAAGACATGTGATGCAATCCAACAACAATTCTTTTTTTTTCTATTTTGAGGACAATGTGCTTTTTTTAAGGGGGGAGTATTGTTTCTTTGATGCTTAAGGGCAATTTAGTAATGTTATATTTATTATTGTGGGGGTATAAATAGGGCTAATATGTTTAGGGTTACAATTATGCGTACATGAGATTGTTGTCTTTGAGTTTTAGTTTTAGGGTTTGGGAGATATTGCTTGCCTCTTGAATTGTATGTGTTGGGAGAGATCACATACCTCCCAAATTGTAGGTGCTTATCTTTATGTATTACAATTGTGTTTTTTGTATTAACAATTTGCTTTGTCCTAATTTCTACGGAGGTTGTATCAACCACTCACTTTTATAATGTTGCATGTCACTTAATTCCTACATATTTACATGTTTAACACCAAAGTTTCAATAAAAAACCAGCTTACCGATGCATAAAAAGGTGTATTTGACTTTTTAAAAGTTAAAGGTGTATTTCACTTTTTAAAAGTTAAACTAGTAATATTTTTGAGTTGATATGAAAGACTAGGATGATATAAATGTAAAAGGTATGAAAAACTCTTGAAATTGTGAATGACATTACTTTTAATAATGCTAAATAGAATGGACTATTTTTATTGAAGGTTGTAAATGTTATTTTTTTCTCAGTTTCTTTTCCAAAAAAAAAAAAAGATTAATGCTCAAAAGTTGAAAAAATGTTTTTGCATACACCAAATTTCTACAAATTTAGAGATTATTTGGTTATTCATTAGTAACATAAAAAAATATTGCTATAGGATGACCTGATAAAAAAGCTTTCTTTTATATATTATTGATGTCCCAAATTTTTTATTACAAAAAATTTATGTTTTTAAAACCTTAATTCTTGGAATAGTGCATACTCTTGGTTCTTCAAACAAAAATTTAGCAAAATCATTAGACATTTTACTCATTTTTTAATCATCTTGATCCAGACACAAATATTAAAAAATTTTTGGAATGTTTATTTCTTTGTAGTTTTATTGATATTATTTTTTATAGCGTCATTTAAGATAAATTTTACAGAAAAAAAATTATATCTAAGTGTTAGGCAACACAGAACATCATTTGTTTGCAAAAATGAGTGTTAAGATGGATGTGTTGCAAAGCTATATAGGATATTGCATCTACTCACCCTTATATTTTGTTTTTGATGTTTCAAGTTTCAACATGCTAAGAAATCACTATTTTAGATGGTTAAGAGTAATATTTCTTGAAGAAAAGTATGAAAAATATTCTTATGTGGTTATGTTGCATAGTCATCATAATCATTGTCTTAGTTGTTAAGGTACATCAATAATGTAAGATAATAGAATTTATGGCTTAATATATATGAGGATGGTGGAATTATACCAAATATAATACGAGTAGATTGTATTATTGTATGATCTCATGTAACCCTCAAGATAAATTTATGGAAGTTTGGAAAAGTTCTCTCAAATAGTTGGGACAAAGCTAATGATTTCTCACTTTTATAAATGTTTCGTTGTTTCCGTTGCCTAATAACAACAGGATGAAAATAAAAGGGGCATATACATACTGTAGGCTTTCAGAAAACAAAAATAACATTCCTTCTCAATTTTATAGAAAACAAATGCAGGATAAATAGAGGTGGATGACTCCATATTAGGAAGTCAATAAAATCAACAATAACTCATAATAAATGAAGGAAACCAGAATTATGACATACCAATAATTTTGAATCTTATAATAGAAAACACCAATAATAGAAGATGCGAAAAGTAAAATCTTCCTAAAAATCCATCGCTCCCCTCAAGTTGGAGCATAAATATATATCATGCCCGATTTGCTTACAAAAAACTCAAAATTATGCTCGAAAAATCGTTTTGTGAAAA